TAGAACAAGCGACAGCCTTCAGTTAAAAAAAATAAATAAATAAAAAATACATTTTCTACTCACGTTCAAGAGTTCTTCACATTTGGTGGGCTCACAGAGTCTGAGAATACAATGTAGGTAGATGCTGGACTTGGTCTGCTCGCGGTGTTGAACGAAGCGGAAGGCCTCAAAGTCAAAGCGGGCAAATTTGGAGTTTCCGTTGGTATTTATTGTTGCCCTTTGGTCAACTGAGCACCTGGTGGAGAGAAAATATTTATCTGTATAAATGCAGAGTTGATTCCAAGCAAAGAAGAGGAGAAATTGCCCAGGCCAGATGCATGAATTGCAGTGTAAAATGTCTTCTGTCTAACTCTGCTGTTACACTTAAATAAAAGCTCTTTACACTAAACAATACAAGCTCAAGTTATAATCACAAATGAACATGCAATTGCTATAACTTCGGGCAATGAGCCACATGCTGCTGCATCAAGTCTAAACACAAAATCTAGTATCTGATCATATATAGGAGCATGTTATGGTGAATATCCGAGCAAGACCCATATTATAACACAAGAAAAAAATCATTCAAAGTAAATCCAGACATTACACTATATGTCCAATTCTTTTATATTGGACTCTTCATTCAAAACACTTGCACAATTGAAAAACATTAATGCGCCGCATCTGACGAGCATGTCAGTGCTCTCCGAACGTGCCAATCAAAACTGCTCATGAATCATCTCTCTTAGATTGTGCAGCGGTTTCAAACGTTGGAAGTACATGAAGCCATCTAAGAGTTTTCTGCCATCGTACCCGGTGAAGAAGTTGTGTTGCTCAGTGTGTGACGCATTATAAGAGGTGGGAGTTCCGAAGCAGTGATCCATCAGCACATGGAAGCTGGAGAGAACAGACCAATCAGTTACAAAGAATAGTTTGTATTGTGTCTTTGATTTTAGAACATCTAAGAGCTTTTTTGCCTACTTTCCAGTCAGGTTCACAGCTTTTACTTCCACGTAGACCCTCGTTCGCAGCTGTAGACCTGATGAAGGGACGATTAGCGGATAGCCATAGTCGGAGTCCTGCGGATAAACAAAAGGCAGAATAAGTCAAATGGAGATTAATTTTGCAGTCACACATCATTACCGATACACTGTGCAACAAATCAACTTGACAAAGGTTGGCCTCGGCCATCAAGTGTGCCCGATGCCTTTACTTACTTACGTTATAAACATTCATTTTTAGTGTGTCAATGAAGCTTCCATTGTTGTCACTTGTTGCCACAGAAACCGAAGAGCTAAAAAGACACCCCAGAAAAAAGGGCAAATGAATCAATCAAGAAACAAAGGAAGCTGTTCATACTCATGGCCTGATTTTTCTAAGATCACAAATGGTGAGCAGTAAATGACGTTTGCTCTGACAGATTGCGCAAAGATGT